TGATGACTGGAGGGGCCGTGGGTCCTGTGTCCTTGACGGGCTCCAGGGTGGGATATCCTGTGTGCTATTTGTCAACTAGAACTGATCATAACTGGTTAGTGCTAAAGTCTTCTGCACACTGCTCGTGCGTCATGTAGTAAGGGCTCCGCGTAGGCTTCTCTGGAGTTGGATTGCCTGGGAGACTGGAACACAAACCCTGCCTCCCCCCCCGCCCGGTCGACGCCTCCTCTGGACGTTTGAAACTCAATGAAACGCTCCAAATCCGGACTTCCAGCCAATAGTTCGATCCGATACTGCATTTTCGTTTCCGGTGCATTTTGATGAGTCAAGAAGGTTAATTTGTCGCTGCATGTCGCGTCACGTATGCCACCGACGTCCGAGTAGGCGTGATTCCCCTGCTGGTGGCTGACAGGTTAACCGTAGCACATCAGGATGACGGGATTAGCAGTCTGTGAGTCACGCCACTAACTGTCCGGTTTACCCCCAAATCTCTCCGCAGACGGCAACTGACTCGGCTAGAATATCTGGCTCTAGGTCGGTAGCGTCAACTCGGCGCTCTACAGTTCATCAGCACTTCCAACCAATCACCTGTCGCGATACTTCCGCTCTCCCGGTTGGAGGAGGCGTGGGCGAACGAACAGTGTGACTTATGGTCTCGGGCTGCGCGTTGGTTCTAGCGACTGCCGCTTCCAGATTTTTCTATTCTTTATCGGGGACGGAGGTTAATTCTCAGAGCTGCTTGAGGTGGAAATGGGAGGTCAGATCAGTAAGCGGCATAACCCCGGAACCCCAATTCTTAAACTGCAGAGTTTTGCCATCTGAAAATCGAATCAGCTGCTAAGGAGTCTTGCTCTAGGGCCATCTAGACCCAGGTTGGGACCGTGGCTCTTCCAGTTCCGGCACCAGGTGAACCAGAAATCGTTATACCAGTCTGTCTCTTATGATACTACTTCCTGAGTCTGACCTCTGCCTAGTAAAGACATGTATGTACTCTATTACACAAAGAGATTTCCCTCCACGAGGAAGAAGCTTAAGTCTAAATCTATTTATTACCTGCTGTGAATTGGACTTTCCAGACTGCATGCAGTCGGTTATTTTCACTGACTGATAATTTGTCCATCGCCACCGGCAAGATCAACCATTGTCCCTAGGGCGCAGTGGTGATCTGCCGATGAATTGGTCTATGACGAGGAAGACTTTCACCGAGTCTACCTCCCTCTCCCCACACCCGTCGTATTCCGAGGTCTGGTCAGCTGAAGACGAGCACAGACGCGGTGACTGATGGGGCCGAGGTCGTGCCTACACATACTACACATGTGCTGGTCCCCAATTTCACACGAGCTGATCCTTACTGAGGGTGTTTGAGGTCTCACAAAAGTAAGAATGCGATACACGCCACATTGGGAGGGGGCAGTGCAATCTGATCTCCTTGTCACAGGATATGACCGAGCCATTATATAAATGGGCAGTCTTCAGAGCCACAACTGTTGGTGTGACTTTGTTGACCGAAAAAAACAGAACGCAGCCATCTCTGCCCACTTGAAGCGACGTTTCGCCTTGAGTGCAGACCAAGGACATTGGTGGCAATTACTGCTGGGTGTTGCCCCAGAGCAGGAGGGATTAGTTGCTCAGCTGATCGACACATAGTCAGTCCGTTACAGCATGACGCTCTGGCACACTGGAGCAACCCTGTTCACGTTCTGAACCATGTGAATTTCCAACAGTCGAGACCGACGATGCCCACCGTGTGCTCCACAAAAAGGTAAAGCAAGCACGGTGACTGACGCGTAAATTAGTTCCTGGTGAGAGCGAATTTGCACAGAGTCTACCGCACTCTTTCCCCCTTCCCACCTGAGCTTGGTGTCAAGATCCGCATCTAGGCGTACCACCACCTCCCCGCTGGTCCACAACAAACGACCCGGATTTTTACCAACAACAACGGGTCAAAAGGAAGGGAATGGCCACGCGGCCATGCCCACGACCTCTTTGCCCGGCGGGAGCGCAAGGGCATCCACCGGCAGAGGGACCAGGTGCCCGAGAACTCCCAGCGCAGAGCAGGCTGCGAGAGCCACGGTTTGCTTAATCATGGCACGGCAGACGGTCACAGACCCTAAGGCTTTGAACTATGTAGTAAATTGGGACTCACATTCATTGACTCTCATCCACTAAGAAGGCACCGTTGCCACTCGCTCATGTTATCTGTTCTACCTGAGGTGCCCCAGTGGTCACCTGCGTGATGTGACCTAGACGTGCTGACCCGAGAGGCAGGGCAACCGGCAGACTGCAGCGGGGCAGGCCGAGAGTGAGACCCTGGTGGCCACGACCTTCAAGCCCGATCCCGAATGGAAAGAAAGGGCGGACACCAGTGGGGGGAGGATGATATATTCTGTGCAGAATGACTGCAGAGAAGGAGTTGGAGAGAGTTGGCAGCCGGAGGAGAGCACGTCCGGCGCCGGGTGAGCGGCGTCCCAATTGTGTCAGCCAGGGGAATGCGTCAAAGCGTCTTAGGCCGGGTCACATCTGACTCGACCTTGAATCTGATTGGCCAGTTGGAGAGTCGTGTGAGTGAATGCCAGACAGCTCTGGTGCGAACGTGAAGACAGCCGAGGGAGGCCCAGAGTTGAGACAGGCGCTCGGAGTAGGTCCACTACATCCGTAAACTCTTTTAGGTAATCTGAATAATGCCACATTACTACCGAAAATCGTTATGACTCCACCTTCATGCCACGGCGCAGG